TATGAGGTGTTGTAAAAAATACAACCACTATATTTTAACCCTTTAAACTACTAAATTAATTTCAAGGTTTGAAAAAATAAACTGCAGTATTTTGAAAAATGAAGTTCTCATACAAATTGCATTGTTTACCCATTTAACCACCACCCACAGAATCTCAATTTTACCCCAAAAAAACATTTTTATCCCTGAATTTAATGTATGAACGGTTAAACTTCTGGTCACACTAAAAATTGTTAAAAAAAAGTAGATCGGAACAGGATTTTTTGTATTGAATGATTTATGAATAATATGGAAGTAAAAAAGCCTTGCCATAGTTGCTGCACAGTTGCAGTCTGGTAACATGTTGACAGTTGGTATGATATTCATGTATTCACCTGGGGACCACCCAGTTACACCTGTGACCCTCTCCGATGCCACTTGTCGCAGACACCTGTCTTGTTCCATGACATATGGTTGTCTTCGACACAATCATGTTCCGTAGTCAGGGTCAGATGTATTTAACACTTCACGATATTGGATATTCCGACTATAACGCCATGGTAACAGATGTGTGTTCCGTGTGTGGATTCCGGGTTGGAATAGGTTCCAGGAACCTTTGTTGGTCGTCAGAGGCGACCAAGTGGATTGGGTTGTCTGGCTCAGTGATTTGATAGCTTGAGTGTCATCGTGCCCCGGCTTGGATCGTTACTCACAATATTGATCACTGGATTGTCTGGTCCAAACATGATTATTTACAGGTAGCCATCATATAGCTGGAATCATGCTTAGAGACACACACACACCACACCACACCACACCACACCACACCACACCACACCACACCACACACACCCACCCACACACACACCACACACACACACCACACCACACCACACCACACCACACCACACCACACAAACACACTGTAAATAAAAAAGCTTGGTTATTTCTTCACATCCTTTATTGCACATTCAGTATAAAAAAATTAATTTGATTTCATACAATTCAGTATTTTGATTTATGTATTTCATTAAAACCATAACAAGAGGGTAGCTAGCCAATTATGCTACCATATAATGTTGTTTTCCATGCACAACCAAACATCACTAAATCGCAAAATGAACACATGACATTTACAAAGCATGTCGAAATTACTGAAAATGTACATATTAATTGTAAATTACCATATTCTGCTTTTTTTAAATAACCAATATTGGTATTTTCATTGCCTACAATATCTGGTTAATAATTACATGTGACATTTTTTTAATTCTGGTTTCTAAACACTTTTCTGGTGATTTCTTTCTGTTTAATTGAATGAAGTATTTTGGGGGTTTGCACAAGGTGAAAAAGCAAATATCAGGCAAAAGTATGATAATGTCTGTTTTTTGGGGGTTTTTTCTATGTGGCATGTCTTCATGCAGTATATGGTTTCATAGAATTTCTCTGCATGCTTAGAATGTAATATTTATTCTAATCTTTAGGATGAGCAAGGCCCTTGTGAAACTATTGATTTGTTATACGATAAGAACAATTACTGTACAAATAAGGGTACAAAACTTAACTTGGCAGTGTTGAAAATAGGGATAAATATAGTTGTAATCTATGGCACTGATAAACATTCAAATAACAACTTCCACATAAAATGTACCAAGCATCACTCTAATGAAGCTCAAGAGGACATATAATCACGTCTAAGTTGTCATCACATATATATATGTATTTCATGTTTCAAATTATGCTGAAGAACATTGTGTATGTACGGTAGCAAAGACATTTTTATACATGATTTCTTTTATCAGGCTGGTGTTTCAATGAATCCATAGGCCTTATATTTTTTAACTGGTTTACAAGATTGACCAACATAAACAAAATCTGATATTTGAAGAAGAAGAAATATGACTCTTGATGAAAAATGTTTTGGCCGACTCTGTTTTGCAATTAGGTGAAATGAAAAAAAAACCCATAGATTTTATCACTGCTATTCGTAAGGGGAATAATGGGTATAAAAATCTATATTCTAACAAAAAACAATGAAATATCTTTCAGTATGTTGCCATGTTAAAACTTGTTTGTTTTTCTCTTGCATCAGTACTAAACTGGAAGTTGAAATTATAGATATATATATCTTATATTTTCTTACTACCTTTATTGACTTTTAGACCAGTTTTATTTGTAAACCAACAAATAAACAATAGAAGGCCTAATTACTGAATATCACTGATTATGCATATCATGTATAACATTTAAATAATTTATGTCTAATTACATACATTAGATATGGACAATATCTGTATGAAATGAAACTGCTTAAGAAAACTGCCCTAATTTGAATGATTCTACTCATAATTCATTTCAATTATTCATGATTTCTACATATTGATGACATTTTCTGGAAGCTGTCAAGCATTGTCTTTTGATTATATTCCGATATGTATGCTAATCAACAATGATAATGATAATGAACAACAAACTTGCACCGTGAAACAATATAAACAACAATATAATTCCATCTGTAACAAATCAGATATATACAGGTACATGCTACAAGTATACAATGGACCTTCGCATGACAGGCTTTATGAAAATATGCAATAATACACAAGACTGAAATGAAGTGTGTCTGTAACAACTTGTCACTGTGAAGTCGGAAATCAAATCAGAGCTTGTTGAAATCTAATCCAGGCCACGTTCCACAAGCAGTTTAGCAATGTACACAAAGTAGGGATGTTGATTGGAAACTTTAGTATCGATATGAAAACTCAAAAGTATGATAATATATTGGTATAAAATGAATTATTAGGTATGTATGAACATAATTACCGATGTAGACCTGCAATTGAATTTTCTGCTTACTTACTGTCCATCTTAACCATGATTATCATAATCAATGTAAACTTTTCTTTGGACTTAATTTGGTATCGATATTCACAAATTTGTATCGGTACAGCATCAATGTTACAAATCTACTGAGACATAGGTTACCGCTATGTGATAACATCCGTATCCCACAATGGTAGTGTTATACCTTGTCTTCAATGAACAGGGCCCAGGAAGCAGAGAAAAGCATACCACAACAACTTTTGTGATGATGTATAAAGGCTCCATGCCTCAACACAGTCTGAAAGTTATGTCAGTGTAATTAGTCTCTGTTTAGCTGCCTAGCAACTGGAACTTGGACCGTTTTGTGGAAGACTGCTCTGACTTGACTTATTGGGTATTTGTGTGCATGTTTGGGGTTGTACTTTCTGGCAGAGCCAGTTCTCAGCCATCGTGTAAGTGATTTTTGACATGATAATAATAGTTTTAACTAGCTTTTTCTCAAAACTGCTACTTTCTAAGAAACAAGATCTAATTTAAGAATGCATCCATCCATCCCCTTTTTGAAGCATACTATCCTAGTAATCATAACTGTAACTAAAGCATTTGGTGACAAAATAACATATAACTAACTAATTTTTCACTAACAAATGAAGATTTCTCCCCCCACCCCCCCCCCCCCCCACCCCCCCACCCCCCCCCCACCCCCTCTGAATTTTGAGCTAGCATGTTTGTATTTTAAGCGCACTCCCCTTCTTAAAAAAGCTGTGCAACCCCTTTTCTAAAAAGCAGTGCCCTGTCCTTCTTCAAAATGCTGTGTTCACCCTTTCCAGTATGCAAAATATGTCTTCAAATTCTTCGCAGTACATTGGAAACGCCCGTTAAATTCCCAATTAACTGACTAACCTACCCTTTTCTCAAAATGCTGTATCCCTGCCTGACATGAATCCTACTTTTTGTTTTGTATTCCATACCATAATTATTATTCTGCCATAACACATATGAACTTTGTTAGGAATAGCCTTGTGAAGATAAAGCTTTTATCATCACAGAAATGTAAATCAAAATAGGATCATGAAAGTGACAAAATATCATGTTTTGTTCCTGAAGCCAAATGGATATCTAGCCTGATAATGGGATATGGCTCTCGTGAGTCCAGAGTAATAACGCAGTAGTGAATGTTGCTTCATCATTTCATTGGTCTGCTATAGTATCATTACATTGGCACAGGCAGTACATATTCACAATAGCTACATTGTTACTGTATCTGAGTGTACTAGGTGCACTCTATGAATTATACACAGTTGAATAAAACCTATTATTATTTCCTCTACAAAGTGGATTCAGCTTGTTTAAATGATGGGCATGATACACAGATTATATAGGACACAAATGAGTGTCTTTTCACATCGTTATACTCTAGCAAGCATCTGATACTTTAGGACTGTTTACAATCCTTGCTACAATCTTTGTTGCATTGGTAGCTTGATATAGAGGGTTTTGAGATCATGCGGAAATAATGTGGCATCTGCAGTTGTGAAATGATTCAGGAAATATACATCTGTACGTTGATTCTGAAATCAGTATTTCATGACATATTCATTAAGAATGTTTACTAAAATCATTTCAAATTTGTTATTTATATAAAAGTTTATTATATAAAACATGACATGAGGAAAATTTTGTATTTAAATGTCAATGTCAGTGACTAATGTCTAGTCTCTGAAATGAACACATTTTACAGAAAAAAAGTTGTTAAATTATACTTACAAAATATAATAAAAAGAAGCCCAGAGACATACTGCAGTAATCTAGACTTGCCAAACGTTATAGACTTGCATGGGCTGTATTGGATATATTTGTTTCAGTGTCTGTATGACAGACTACTCATTGACATTACTTATTTCTCGTTTCTTGTCCTGAAAGAAGAGATGTTGCTTCAAAGAAGTACACTTGTATATGACAGAATATACTTAATGTCGATTTTTGCTTCCGAAACAATAATCTAAGGAACACATCTTGGAGTCATTTTGAGTTATATGAAATATGTCCATTCTTCATTCTATTATTTTTCATTTATGTTGATAATAATCTTTTGTATCAAGAAAATATCTGTTGCTATGAAAAAAGAAACAAAAACACAGTTAATATGTTTTCTTTAAATGTGAATATTTAAATTTATCTCTTTTTCTAAATAATGGAATCTTTGACAAAACTTAACATATGTTGGTTGGTAGGTAGGTGTAGCATGTGAGATAAAAAAATCATATTCGGAGGTTGCATTATGAAAACAGTTTACTATTTTAAAAAGCAGAAACAAACGTACAATAAAAATGCCAAATTATGTATTATTCCCTATTTGCAAAGTAAAAAGTGACACTAAAAGTGGCATGTCATTGAAATAATAGGATGGTTAATATGATTAAAATACTTCAGTTGCGCGTTATTGTTGGAAAAAACAAACATTGATATATGGCAGTTTCTATAGACTTGTGACTTCATATTGGTGACATGGGGCTTGATATCACTTCAGCCACAGTGTGCAGCATTCATCATGACAAGTACACAGATCTCTGTACCAAAATTCTGCACTATAGTTACTGACAGGATAAACGAAACGAAGCTATGATCGCGAATGAATCCAGAGAATACGTATCGTAATAGAATAGAAATCTGGTACACTGGATAATTAAGAATGTCGTGAATACGGAGATGTTTATATTTGGGCCAGTGGACAAATAATTAACCTATGGAATTGTTTGTGAATGCTTGAAGCAGATCAGAAAACAATAGAAATATGCACCATGAGACCGAATACACATTTAACTATGAAACAGTAGTATTGTTCAACAGTTTGATTGGGTTGTTATAATAAATTTGACATTTAACATCAATTTGACAATAAACCGTTTTGTGGAAATAGCTTTGTCTAGTATTCGTTTTAGGTTTTAGAATCCTCTGATCATGAATACTGAACGTTACATTGAAACACATTTCACACTGTCATAAACACTACTCAAAAGATGCTAAAGACACTCATATTATTATGGTAAATATGTCTTGTCATGACAGATCCATTATGGAATATGAAAGAATCAGGTGTTCTTTGACTTCTTTTGAGTAGCATGTATGTAAATACTAAATTCAATTAAAAAATTTTTTTCTAAATGAGCTTGCAATTTCTATGCCCTTTTAATAAGCAGCATTCTAATCAAGTACCCAAAGAACTTGAGAAAGAATGACTATTTTTCCTGTATTACAATATTCATACATTTTGCCTTAAAACACATGTGGTCCTGATGAGAAGGTTTCAAAATATGTGTGTGTATCAGTATCCAAGTTATTATTTTATATTTCATTTATCAGATAAACATATGATATTAGATTCACAGCAATGACATCAAAGAGCAAAAGAGTTATTCATTCTTACAACTGAACTTAATAAACACTTCCGCTTTGTTGACACCCCTATCCTTCCATCTGGACCACAACTGTTTTCTGCATCATTTGCTTTTAATGAAATGGAGTGTATACCAACTTATCAGATTAAGTTACTTACATATGACTGTATGCCAATTGTCATATGTTAGCAGTAAACCACATATCATTAGAAGTTTTCCACCTTTTCAGATGTTGGATTCTAATATATGACCATTGTATGCCAGTTTTCATATATCAGTGGTAAACCACCAGTCATTATTAGAAGTTATACCACCTTTTCAGATGTAGAATTCTTATATATGACCATTGTATGCCAGTTTTCATATATCAGTGGTAAACCACCAGTCATTATTAGACGTTATACCACCTTTTCAGATGTTGGATTCTAATATATGACCATTGTATGCCAGTTTTCATATATCAGTGGTAAACCACCAGTCATTATTAGCAGGTATACTACCTTTTCACAAGTTTGGGTTTGTTTGTCTGTTAAACGTTTAACGCAGCAATCAGCAATATTCCAGCTATATGACGGTGGTCTGTAAATAATCAAGCCTGGACCAGACAGTCCAGTGAATGACATCATGAGCAACGATCCACACATTTGGGATACAGTGACATGCGTCAGCCAAGTGACATCAAGCATAGTCGCCTTTTATGGCAAGCATTGGTTGCGGAGGACCCTTTTCACAAGCAGCTGCTCTACCACTTCCAGTCTGTTGAACAGGGCTACCTATTTCATACAGAAGGTGCAATAACACATTTTGATGCAACTTTCCATGTTTGTAAATTATTGTACCACCTTTCACACTGTTAAATCTGGGAATGTGGCAGCAGAGCTGTTCTGGAGGTGCACAGAGGGGTACTTGGGGGCTGGTACAGATTATCCAGGGGAATCTGAGACAGGGCGTCGCCCTTGTCCGGCTCCGGGTCCTCGTAGTCTTTCCGTTTCTTTAACTTTTTCATGACGGTGAAGATGCAGCACAAGATGACTGTGACACCAAGCACTGTGCACACACCTGCTATAATCTTGGGTGTTGTGATGCGTGTGATGCCTTGCTTGACACTCAGTTCATGTTTGGTGGTGATATTGCGGCAGTGGATAGTGAACTCAGCATCATACACAATACAGATTTCATATGTCGTTAGAGGTTTGAGACCTCCAAGTGTACATGTAGTCAGTCTTGCACTCAGTGGAACTACCTCACTGTCACCACCACTGCTCTCTTTATACTTCAGCTGAAAATTGGCTAGTTGACTCTTTTTTATGGATCCTCTTAATTGTAATGTTATGTAGTCATTTGAAATACTGATTGGATAGAACTTGAGATCTTTCTGTAGCACGTTCACAGCAGTTGAACTAATGTCGTACGACACAGCATTCTGGGCCTCACATGCATACGTCCCTTCGTCAGAGGTCCGAACGCCATGAACAGATATGGCAGTGTCTTCTACCAACATGACACGATCATTAGTCATGGAGGAGTTTAGAACCGTGCCATCAGGCAAAAGCCAATGAATCTTTGGTTGTGGAACACCAATAGCCTGGCACTCCAGATAGAGATTATCACCAACGGTGGTGTTGTACGAGTCTGTGAAGAGTGGAAGCGTAGTTGGGGGACAGACAGGGGGTAACTGGGAAAGTGGGACCTGCTTTAGCGGCATGTTAGATTTGCTGGTTGGAGAATCACACAAAAGCTTGTCAGCTTCTTTGATGTACATACTTGTGTCGGAACTGGAATTCAAACTCTCTTGTAGTTCTTTCTTGATCCAATACACATTGCAGTCACAGTGCAGGGGATTGTGGTAGAGATGGAGGTTTTGCAACGATGGCAAGCTTTCTTTGATATTCACAGACACTGCCATTAGTTTATTGTTGTGGAGAAATAATGAATTCAGTTGGGATACATTTTGAAATGCCTCTTGGTGAATGAAGATGAGATTTGGGTTGTCATGAATCATGAGATTAAGCAAACGAGGCAGGTTCTTAAAAGCACCTTTTTCAATGACTCTCAGCTGGAGTTGGAAGCTCAAGGAAATTTCCGTTATGTTGGAGTTGGTAAAGTCATTAGTTTCAATCCTCTGGAGCTGGTTCGAGTCCATCAGCAGAATCTGCAGCCTTCCAATGTCAAGGACACACTGAGGCACGTGCGTCAGCATGTTCCGAGAAAGATCTATGACCTTAATGCCATGCACATTTGTAAAAGACGTAGAATGTATTCCATGGATCTGATTCCCCGACAAGTCTAGGTGGACAAGATGAGGCATCGTGTCAAACACCTTGGGCTCTAGTTTTCCGATCTTGTTGTTGGCCATGTGTATCTCAGTAACCGATGACATCGATTGTAACCATAGTCTTTTTAGTTCATAAAGGTTGTTGTTGTTGATTATGAGTTTCTGAAGATGATTCAAACCACCAAATGCATGGATTTCTATTATTTGTAATGCATTATAAGACAGATCGAGAACGTCAAGATTTTTGAGACCGCTAAAGCTACCATGTTGTAGTTTAAGTATGGAATTGCCCTTTAGGTTCAGAACTTTCAGCAAATGGACATTTTCGTAAATCCGTTGATTATCCAAGTAGCGGATGTGATTATAGGACAGATCAAGACATTTCAGGTACGGCAGGTAGGGAATATAAGACAGGTTTCTCAGATTGTTGTGATGAAATAGCAGAACTTCCGTGTCAGGGGGTATGTCTTCTGGGAACTGTCTAAGATCCCTGTTACTGCAGTTAACCATATGTAGTCTTCCATTGAAACTTGGGAAGTTTTTAACGGAGCATGTACACGTGCTCGGGCATGAGGTCCTGGTGGGGTGGTTCTGTGTCATGTCGAGAGACGAGGCAGCCATCAGCAGAGCCCCTGCAAGGAAAAACCCTTGTGGCCTCATGCTGGAGGGGAAGCAGACATCTTACCCACCTGTTACGTTTAGGACTAACTGCACGTGCACTCTTTTCGCCATTTTGGTCGTTTGAAATTTCATATACCTTTCACATTTCCTTCCAATTAAGAACACCAAGGGTATTGCAGCAAACTTTCCACATGAAAATCACATATTCCATATGACAATGGTTTTCACGCTGTGCTCACAGAAATATGTTTAGCAAATCTTATTCCTCGTGTAGATGTATAATCCAGTGCCTGTTAAATATCTCTTGCACAGTTGTTAGGTAATTAGTATCCACATTCCGAGACTGGCATCAGACCGCAGTAGTATAACCTGTAAATAGTACAAAGAACATGATCAATACTTTAGTACCAGCATTATTTAAATCATCTGTTGAACTGGTCACCCGCATGTGTTTAATCAATGATACAACAATGGCTTGTACATTTGAATTCACCACAGTTCACAGTTCATATGATCAGAATCGTGATAGTGTTTGAAACTGAAAAGCATCCTAGATATAATGACAACCACAACAGGCATGAGTGATTAATGTTCACAGATTCAACAGTGCTGTTAGTGTCCATACATAACATGAACGATTTCTAGTTTGTCCATAATGACAATGATTTATTTTCAGTGTTAAAACAGTATTCCTGTTGGGATATGTTTGGTTTTCATCAAAGCTACTGATTTTTATATTGTTCTATCTATCATGTCTAATTGGAAATACACCTGTCTCGATAATCAGGTGCTGTAGGAAAAATTTCGTGTAAACATGGTACATTGTAGTCTATGAAGTGATAATTACTTGTTTTTAATTTATAATACTTTCTAAGGTAAAATATGTCTGTTTTACAAACAGATATTGATTAAGGACAGCGAGTGTTTTAATTTCATAGTCATTAACTGTTCTCTATGATTTGGTGTGATAGTCCCACCTTCGAAATTCACACGTCTGCTAGCCCAGGACTACTAATTTGTGTTGAGGAAAAGTAAAAAGCCAATGATGGTCGTCCTTATTTTGACTCATTGGCTATAGTTCGGAACCAGTTTTCAGTGCTTCAATTTATCTTCAAATTGGAACTGAATAAAACTGACAGACTATGTAAACACAGTAAAGAAGGACTAGCTACAAATGATGAAATATGGTCCAGTTTTAGAAAAGACGAATTCCTAAATATATCAGTTTCCAGTGTGTACATGGAGGCTTGAATAATTCCACAAGTGGGAGATGACTTTCCCCTCCCTCGACCATGCATTGATCTATTTCTCACCGTAGACACCACCTTCATGTAGTCGGCGTAACGTTCTCACCTAACCAGTTCAGATGCTTCATAGAACATGCACACATTTTTTATGCTCTGTATATTTCCAGGAGATTCTTGACATTTACCTCGAAGCTGTAACTACACACTGTAGACATTCACACACTTGTTTCATCCACTGCTGGTGCTAAACTGCCGGGACAGAATTCCAACTTTCTGGAACTATATGTAATAATATAGAGGTTGTGATAATGATACACTCGTGTAACAGTGGATAATCACACTGTGAATATAGATGTTTTCTCCTTTGTATGTTTTCTATGACATATGTAAGTGTTGACGTGTTTGGTCCGTAGAGCGTAAAGGAGGAGGGGAAACTGGCATTAGTCCAACATGGATGGACCCAAACAACGTAGTTAAGTAGTTAAGCTTACAATCCATAAGACTGCAATAAGAAAATGTTGAAAAGTTTTCCTATTTGTCATTATTTGAACATGTGATCAGCTGATATAGATATTTATGCCTGCTATATGTGCCTAGTATGCTGTTATGAGATGAAGTTAACACTAATTTATCAGTTTGTGGTAGGTAAGATATATATACTACTTAAAAGAAGATAAAGAACAATAAAAAATGTTCATATGGCTATGAATGACAGATTAACTATGTAAAAAATTGAGTGTACTTAAACTTCTTTTGAGTAATATACAACACAAATATGACATGGCAGTAGTGTAAAAAGGGATGATGAAATCCATACAAAAAGATAACATGTGGCTATGAATGACAGAATAACTATGTAAAAAATTGAGTGTACTTTTACAACACAAATATGACATGGCAGTAGTGTAAAAAGGGATGAAATTCATACAAAAAAATAACGTGATATGATCTATTCAGTGTTAGAAATAAATGTATATTTTCACTAGTCTGCTAATAAGAACTGCTACAGAGTTGCCATCTATCTAATGGTAAAAGTGGTAATCCAAATGTCACATATCCTCCCTGAATAGTACTGGACTCAGACGTTTGGACTTGTGATAACTCCGAACGCTGTTATTTGTACAGATACTAAAAGGGTATGGTTTAGGTGACAAAGGTGTACCTTCTTCTAATCGATTTGATACATATGAAGTATCAGTGAAAATTATTTATTGTTTCTTGCTGCAATTTTATTCATTTTGAACTGAATACAGCGTTCAAAATATTCCACTGAAAGATACAAGTTATGTACATGAAGAGTAGTTATGTCATCGTATATCGCGATATCGATCGATACTGTATCAATACAAATTCATGAATATCAATTCTAAATAAATAACTTACTGCAACAGAATCATTTACATTAACTAAGCTTACCATAGTTGTGAGATGGACAAAGAGAAATAAAATTCATTGTTAAATATTTATTGGCTCAGGCTACTTCATATTTAGCATTAAGTTGATTAATTGCAGGTCCACATAGTTAATATTTATCTTTGCACATTCAGCATAAGTAATTTTATTATTAATCAATATATTGATACTTTTGAGTCAATATATCAATACTATAATGTCTAATCAATGCCACCGCTAGTCATGGACCCTAAATATAGACACATTAAGTGTCCATTCTTTAATGAAGAGTAAATTTTAGCTTACAAAAACACTGTGTTGTGTCACCAACCATTTATACATATTGCCTCACCTTTGTACACATTCAAACAGGTTGTTGCTATCCTATACAAGAAATAGAACATGCAGTCATAAACATCAAGAGCCATATACCTTTGAGTCATACATCATAACACAGGGATAAAAGATCATAAATACTTCAAATATATATCTAAGTCATTCTGACCAAGATGTTATACTGCCGGTTTGCAAAGCCAAGGTTGTCTCATGCTAAACAACAGTGGAATGACAGACATCCAATACAAACCTGATGGTTGCAACTGAGGTCGAAAGAAGCCCCAGTCCCCCTTATGTGACAGGGACATTTGTCAGAGTTAATCACAGTCCCCTTAAAGTGGTCCAGCAAAGAAGGTTATAGCACTGCCAGCACCTGTGTTCGTTCAAGTAGAATCCAGCGTAGACCCAGCATCTCATAAAAACAGCCCAAGTTGTAGCAGTGTGTTATGCTTGTGAGCACAAAGAAGGTATTGATAGTGCCCTAACTGCCTTAATCAGACTATTAGAACACTCGGAATCCTCCCCAGAGGAATTTTTACTATTGTGGCACATCACTTCTCACCTGATTTTGGCAGTTGACAAGAAACTGGCCTGTTTGTAGGCAGTTTTGTGAACATGTGCACAGCAAGGTGTTGACATTGTTAAAAACTGTAAACAAACACATCATGTGTCCTTATCATCCTGCTGTAAACTTTGGGTCGAATCTCTGATAAATGCTACAACAACAGCCAGCACTGAGATAAGATATGTTTACACAGGACTATTTGCAAAACGCAAGATGACTGCAGATTTACCTGTTTGAAAATATCCCTGGAAAGTTTGTAGTGTGTACTTGTGGAATTGTGCAGCGTTGTTCGTGCGGTGCAGTTGAGTAGTGTACGTGAGAGTATAGAGCAAGAGACGTGCTAGCATTGATTGGCTCGTGAGCGAGATGCCAGCTGGCAGCATAGATAATGAGTAACTGGAACAGGTCAGACACACTCTCAGTGTAATTGGACGATTCATGTTATACTCCACCAATCACAAAACACCAGTCTCCAACTAAAAACTCTTTGGTAAACTCTAATTTTTGCTCTGTCAATGATCAAGAAGTTTCCAACTCTGCTCGAGTTTAGGAACGTGAATGAGATCGGAATCTAGCTTTTTTGCATTTTTGTGTGGAGGATTTAAGGGTTTCTTTGATCATTTTTTTTCTCAAAATGCAGTGAGTTGAACTTGAGTTGAATTGATTATTTAGAAACGGTTGTTCAATATATTAAAAGCTATGTGTTGGAAAGTAAGGTCATTGTAACCAGGAGGAGAGAGGTTTTTGTACTACAACCGAGCAGTGTGCATCTGGTTTGCTATTATTAGATAAGGTAGCTGCTGGTGTCAATGTAAGGCTAGGTTAAGCTGTAGTCTGTATATGAATTGAACAAACTGGTTAGTTTGTATTTATAATAAAATGGTAACTTCGTTTGAATAATACTCAAAATTGTACTGCATATGACCGAGTACTGGGTTTATGGTGACTGTCTAGAATGAGAGACTGAAATACGGCTGTCTGGATCAGCAATGCATTTCGGGATTATAGATTACTGAAGTTGTTCAACAAACTTTAGACACCAGTTCAGTTTACAAGTCATATAATTGAAATGTAAAGCTAAGCAAACATTGAAATGAATACTCACAAATTGAAGACACTCACATCAGACAACTTGACTGAAACATGCCCCTGTTGAAAAGTGTGACCTATTGACAAGTCATCAACAGTACGATAAACGGAGCTGGGGGCAGACACGGTGTTAAATCAATGAGGAGAGAGGAGAATGTGTTTTGTCTCTACACTGTAGTCAATGAAAGACCTGCACTTGGTAGCAGATGATTCAGCAAGAACCACCCTTGTAGCCAGGTACACATTCGAAGAAGTGACGCCTATCAACTGTTGAAAATGTACTGTTCAATAATCGCGCTGAAATCAATCAAGAATTCCTGAGTGCATTGTCAATGATGCATTCTTAAAATCTATTGTAAGTTTGTCTAAAGATAAGAGGGGCCTGGTTGACTCCATTTGCCCTCAGACTGATCAATAAAACACTTTTCGTGTTATCTGTCGAACAATTGATTTAAAAATTATTAATCAGATATTGAAATAATATAGAGAATTGTATTTATGTTTAGGTGGGTTTTCAAATATAAGCCATGACTTTGGGTATATATGCTACTCAAAATAAGTTAAAGAACACCCAATTCTTTCTTATTACTATAATTAATCTGTCGTGCAACTTTTTCCCAATTCTAAATGTTCTCAAAGGACATTAAATTACACCCGATTCTTTCATATTACTATTGTTGATTTTTCTTGGCATTAATTTTTTCCCAATTCAGTATATACTACTCAAAAGTACATGGCATCATCGCAATGGCATGACAGTATAACTGTAGTAAAACTGTGACATGAAAGAATCAGGTGGTCTTCTACTTCTTTTGAGTAGGATATTTAGAATTGGAAAAACAAAGGAAACAGAATCACAAGTTAATATGAACCATTTAGTTGTGTGTACTTTTTCAAAGATGATAATCACTTTCTTTGATGTTTAGATAATTATATAAGCATGCAATATACTAATCCGTGTAACCTTTAGATGAAAAAAAAGAACATAATTGCCAATGATACATGTAATAACAATAAAACAATTACTGTCAGATGACAGACAGGACTGTTCAATTGGATGCCTTAACGATCTGGACAAGTGCAAGTTATCACAATGCCCAGGGCATACATTGCCAGAGCCTACAGTGGTAACACAGAAAGTAATTCAATTAGATCATGATAGACGGCCATTGTTTCCCTCATAAACCTACTGAAAATATATTGACCCGGGCGAATATGAACATATGTACTCTATATTGACAGAACCATGGTCAGAAGACATGTTGAAGTTAATTACCACACAATGCAGTGAATTGCAGGTGGTTGAATATTGAACATCCACATCAGGGATGATAATGCAATTACCAAGACTTTACAGCCTGACCCAGCAGGTGTGCAAGGTGGTTTACAACACCTGTAATTAATCTGCAAAGTCCAGGTATATGTAGATTCGATAGACGCTTCATCGGCTGGTTGACCCTGGCAGACATTATCTTCTAGTGGAATTATTTTATGACTCTTTCCCTGATTTAATCAAACCTTAAGAGGAAGCTATCAATCCAGCCAGTGGTTTTGCACCTCCGACAAAAATTGATATGTCTTGATTATTGGATTGAAAGTGTCAATGGAAACTGGTTTGGGGAGAAAAATGGGTTTTATCTTTTGTGATGTTTATGGCCTTTTGACTGTCAATAGGTTTTATTGGTTGGTTTGTGTTTAGAGGGAAATCACTTGCACGTGGCTGGGAATATATTGACAATATTGTCACATCTTTACTTGTATCATCGTACATGTTTCTGGTTGAGTGAAGAAGACCGTTTGTGTTCCAGTACAACATTGATTAGATTTTTTCAGGGTATGACACGAATACATTAATTGCTTGTCATGTTGTGGCACACTGTCATAACGTGCGTGTTAGTTAGGGCTATTTATTGTTGCTTGGTTTCATGGATGATCTTTTCAAAACAATAGTGGTTAACGTTATTTGGTCGGATGAAATAAAGATATTATTGACCTGTTTTTTTTTCAATTTGTTACTACATAAATAAGACAAAGGATTCTGCTGCAAGTACAATAGATTGCTCTCAGATATTAATTTTATCCTAGATTTGTGGAATTTTGGATTGGCAGATCGGTTAAACATGGTTTAGAAAAAACTTAGCTCATCAATATGTTGTTTTTTTTACAGGTACAGTGCTGAATGTTTTCTTTTCTTTCATTCAGTCTACATAGCAAGTTTTTTTTTTCTTTTGTCTCTAGTGTTTATGGATGCTGGAAATCATTTGGAATATGTGAAGTATTTTATGTTCAGACTTTTTCAAACTCTGGCACTTATCGATTTTGTAGGATGGACTAAATGTCTGAATAATGAAGTCATTGTCTGTTATCTTAAAGGTTTTTAAAAAAGAAAAAAATTGATGAAGGCATTGTTAGAGCATACCAAGGTTCTCATTTATGATTGTAATGAATGTTGCTTTGGTAATTAATATGTTTTTATTCAATAAAATACTGACATTAATGCTTTATAAAGTCAAACTTGTATCTTGTACATCATTCAACTGTGGTCTCTAGGGAAAGAAAACATCTCGGGGGTGACGTATTTATTGGGTTTTAACAGTTTTCAATCACAGACTGAAACTGCTTTATCTCCGAGATAAGATTCTCATAATTACAACATAACCCCTATCGAGAGATGAAATGTTTTCATGAATTATAAATACCCTCATCGCCAACTGTTGATATTTTACCTCCTACTTCACAAAGGGGAGTTATTATCAGCAGCACCATGCTGGCATTAAATATTTAGAGGAACGTGGTGTCTAACAGCGTGAGGCTGGTGATGTACGAGATAGGATCTGCCAGGGTACACTGTGGCAGATAGGTCTTCAGGGGTACACTGGGCGGGTTTCTATAGGCTTTTCATGCAAGCTGTGATGTCAGATGACAGGTGGAATACATGAATTATTGCACGGCTATTAATGAATACTGGATTTAGGGAATGGAGAACTAATACAATTTTCTATTCAAATACCTCATATTTTGAGAGTTTTACTTCAACGTAGAATAGGAGCTGCATGGTGCATAAAAAGGGTTTGTGGTTTGGGTGTAAGATTATTTTATTGTACATATACACCCACTAAGGGCCGGGTACAAACAGCTAAGACATTATATAAGTGAGTTCATGGCGAATCACGATCACCAGTACTGGAAGTCATAATTTCCATTGTCACGCCTTTGAGCATATTTAAGAATATGGATCAGGTGTGTTATAAATAATAATTATTGTTGTTGTTTAATTAATTTAATATTATTGTTGTTAATATTTTCCTCCAGGATATAGGAACAGAGTTTATCCCTCGTTCTTTCTGTCTGTCCTTCCATTTCTCAAAAACTATTTAATTGAGAAAAATGAAATTTTACACACTGATGTTACTAGTCATAATCTCAAATGAGTTATGGCCCCTGCTATGTACTTGTCAACTTAGTGCATACTGTATGAAATGGGGACATGTTTTCTCAGAAACTACTGAAGTTACACAAATAAAAGTTTCCATGCTTATCAAAGAGATACTTGCCAAGACTGAGTTTGAAAATTGGTCCCATCAATTAGTTATTTACAGAGTTGCAGGGGCGGTCAGGTAGCCTAGCGTTTGCTCGTTACGCCGAAGACCCGGGTTTGATACCCGATATGTGTACAATGTGTGAACCCGGGTCTTCGGTGTGACGAGCGAACACTTTAACCACTAGGCTCACCCCATGCTTATAAAGTAAGCAATGTAGGGATGCTGTTACAGAAATAGCAATATAGCCACTTAGGTCTAGTACATGGAGCATTGGCCCGCAGAAATGAAGGTCACTGGTTCAGTCCCTGACCGCGTCATGATATAAGATGGTACTTGTTTTTTTCATGCCTGTTGCGAGACATTAAAGGAATAAAATAAGGACTGGTTGTTTCGAAGTCAGTATACTCAACCTGTGTGACTGGAGTATCCATGATAAACTGCGGCATGGGTGTCTCACTGGCTAAACATGGTATCTCAGAACTATAAAACTGGCATTAGTTCCAGACTAGTTCAAGCAGACACACACAGACAGACACATCAATCCCCATTTTTTTAAAACTGGCATTAGTTCCAGACTAATTCAAGCAGACACACACAGACAGACACATCAATCCCCATTTTATCTCACCTACAAAAATTAGGCAGCTGAGTTTGTACTTCCGAGTCTCTGGAATGGTCTGGTTGCTCAACTGTTACACCATACCAAAAACGTGTTGGTTAATGCAGACAACTCGGGAGGGGCACGGGTTGCTCAGTCGTATAAGGCTCCTCGATTCGCTGTGCAGAATTGCGTCCCTTGGGCACGCCACAAACCTATGAATGTGGGTTCAAATCCTGGTTCGCCCCGATTATGTTTCTAGGTTGGTTTGTCAGCACCCGTGCTCGTGGGTTTCACCGAAGTGGTAAACGTCTGAGACCTGCATCACTTCGGGCTTTCCTCCCACATCAAGCTGACATGCCGTGATATAACTGTAATAATGTTAAAAGCGGCGTTAAACCCAACTCACTCACTCACTCATTCACTAATGCAGACAACTCAGCCATTTCCTAAGTAAATATCACTTTCAAATTCAAGATTCAAGATAACTTCAGTTACAATTGAGATCAAAAGACATTAGCCAATCATAGCTACTCTTCTCATAGGTCAGGCGATTGTAGAGAAAATATTCCAAGTGTGACAGAGATGCTTGAAGAAACTAGAGATAATCCTCTGTTGACATGGTATTGTTCTCTGCCTCAGTGACACTGAAACAATGCAGTAGAATGATGTAGGAAGTGGATAATTGGATGCTTGTTTCCCAGGAGAGGGTAAGCTGTCAGCCCAGCTCATGTCATGCTGGTTGATTTGGCTGGCTCCATAGGTCAAAGTAACTCCATTAACAATCACCATCATTTTTGATCTCAGAGAAGTTTTAGTGAGCATGTTATTAAAAAGCCTCCTCCCTGATGAATTATGAGAATCATTATTATGTTTTTTTCTTAGGGAAAAATGAAAGAGAAGTGGGATTTTGGTATTTA